AAGAAAAACCGAGTTTGGCAGATGGAATTAAACTGCATTAAGAAAAAGGTAAATTCTAGGGCCATGGATTTTGCTCAGTGGTTCTACTGCCTGCCTTGCAAGCATTAAGTCCTGAGTTCGATCCCCGGTGCCAAAAGGAAAAAAAGAAAAGAAAAGAAAAAGGTTAGTTCAACGTGCTTGTAGATTTACAAGACTAAACTAGCAAAAGTTTGGTAGAAATTCTGTGCAGACAGAAGAACAGAGCCAGTTCACTGTACAAACAGGTCGGATTTTGCATAACCAAAACAGAAAAGATACTTTACTCTCATCTCCACTGCCGTCTTCATGTTTAGTTCCACTTCTCTTTCCATTTTCATCTTCTAAATTCTCTACTTCCTCAATAACCATCCTCTTCCCTTTGGTCTGGGGCTTACCTACAGGTTCATAATTGTTCAGATTTCTTTCAACCTCTGACAAGGTTTTCTGCAACACAATCATATAAAAGAAAGTGTTTTTCTTTACTTAAAAAAACCATTCCTCCAGGTAAGAATATATGAAGACATTAAAATATAAAGATAAGACTTTTTATGGAGGTCTAGGTTTTTTTTCAAGACAACTTCATTCCTTTATTTGACCATAATTATACACACCCATTATATAAAAGAACAACATTAGAGTAATAAGTATATTTTAGATTTTACATTATTGTATATGGCTCATTTTTTTAGTTAATTTTTACACATGGTTAAGAAAAAGATGCATTTGGATAAGGCCTGAAAGTTAATATGTAAACGTGAAATTATGTAAGGTCATAAAATTAAAAGTGACTTTTCTAGTTTCAAATTTTTCTTTTATGATACTCTTCCATGGACAATAAATATCACCATGTGTAAAGTAAACACAAACAGTATGCAGTAGGTACAGTAGGTAACCTGATAGGCATGTGTGGAAACTTAGGGACAACCTGCTGGAGGAAAGTGCTCCATCTCTTTCTCCCATTTTCTGACCATTCTGCAAGCAAAGGCACTAAACTGCCTTTGATCTAGTCTTTAAAGATGTCTTACCGAGAACAATAGCCTTGGAAAAAGAAATGGCATTTCACTGGAGGTGACAGAGCGAGTTTGTTTGTTCTCCAATATAATAAAGATGCTATTTCCCCTTGGAGCAGAGACCAGGCAGTTTGTTTACAGCCCCCCATAAAAGATGATTTCCTAAATTTGAGTTTCCTCAGCCACACGCAAGGCCACTGAATGTGCAGCAACCATTCGGGCCCCTCTGTGCCATCCCCAGGAGCCAGGGGAACTGACAAGAATGTGAAGCTCGTCTGCTGGGTGTGTCAGGAATAAAAAGTCCTTTATGTCCGACCCAAGATATCTTGGCTCCTCTGCTAAATCACCTACATCACCTTAGTTTGCAAGTAGGATAGAATCTCAGATCCTTCCCAGTCCCTGACACTTACCTCAGCTTTTCGGTCGTGATCTGGAGCCCTGTGATTGCATCTGACTTAGGCCACGCTGTCAGGCAGTGCACGCTAACAGAAAGACACTCTTCTATGGCCATACAGCTCACCCCTAACCCTACCTAGAAAACTTCTACTCTGCATAATAAATTGAGATTAGCTCAGGGAAAAGCACTGCCTAGAACACTGTAAGAAAGAGAAACATTAAATATTTGACACTCAGTGATAGGTTTACGCTTTCGCACAATTTCTTTTTTAAGAGTTGTTTTCTTCTACTTCAAATTTATGAGAAGTTTTCGGTGTCTGGGACACCCTACTTTTTAAAGCTATGACCTAACGCTCAACGTAATTTATTCAGCAAGGTTGGTACAATTTTAATATAAATTCAGAAACAACAAATTATAGAATTAGGTGAGAGATCACTTTATACTTACCCTGGCCAATTCATTATGAGGTTCCACCTCCAGTACATTCCTCAAGTCTTCTATGGCCTCCTGGAGCTTGTTTTGATGTTTATAAGTAGTGGCCCGGCGCAGAAGAGCTGAAAATGTACCAAAATAAAAGCTATATGTTTCAATATGGCATTATGGTTATAACATAGTTTGCAAGTGTTAAAATGTAAATAGCACAAGACACTTTATGATGTAATTATTCAAAGCTTAAATACACCCATTTTCATATTATGGAACATACAGGAAATGGTCTTCTGGAAAGCAGAATAGGCTACATTGGGCAACTGTGTCCTCTAATAACCCTAACTCTAACCCGAACTCTGACTGGCTCCCCCAAGACCAGAGAGACTCTGTCCCTTACCTCTTCCTGTTGTGACACATCATCAAGAAGCTTTTTGCTAAAACAATAATGTGTTTCTTCTTATCATCTGCACTACCAAGGAAAGTTCCACAGCATCCTAAAAACTTAGAAAATCCCTCATTGAAATTTAGTATATCACTGACCAGCCTCTAGCTCAAAATATGGCATGTTAGTAAAATCTAGTCAGCCATCTCTAGAAATTGGGCTAGGGATTTAACTCAGTGGCACTGTGCCTCCCTCACCAGTGCGAGGTCCTGAGTTCAATCCTGGTACTAGAAAAAAAAAGGGGGACTGGAAGGATTTACTTAGCACAGGGGACTGGGAGGATCCTGATGATTAAGTCAGCAAAGGTTCTGAAACTGAGCACACTAGAAATTTGCATCTGATTTGGGGGAAGGTTCTGATTTTAATTTTATGATTATTTAATAATGACGAGTGACTTCTTAGTCCCATCATTAATCATTATATAATGAGAGGACTTTGTGTAAGAAATCAATATATTGATAAAAAATTAGGCTCAGTAATTCTGAGAAGTGAGAAGTTTATATCTAATATATGTTAATATGCTATTTTAAAACATATTCATAAATTTAACCGGTGTGATTTTAGTCTTAGGATGAGCCATGAAAACCTAAAGGATAAATCATTTTGTCATAAATTTAATTGATATAGTAGCATTGTGCCTTAAGTATACTTTAGCTACTGCCACTGCTACTCAAATTTCCAAAAGGAATGTCCATGAAGAAATATACATGATGTAACAATTATTGGATTTTTTGTGGGGAGTAATTTTTTTTATTTTTTAATAATTTGATAGTTACAAGAAGTTGCAAAGATAGCACAGAAAGTTACCGCATACGTTCAATCTACTTCCCCTAATACTAACATCTTTCTCAATCTTTTCGGATTATTAGCCACCTCAGTATGAATAATCAGGGATTTAAATTCCAAGGGAAATTCAAAATTAAAAGTAAATGCATGAAGAGCTGGGGATGTAGCTGAGTGGCACTGTGCCTGCCTGGTAAGCGCAAGGTACTGAGTTTGATTCCCAGTATGAGAAGGGGGGAAAAAAAAGAAAGAAAAGTAAATGCATGAAGGTGATGAGTCACATACAGAATTTTTTTTTTTTCAGTACTGGGGATTAAACTGAGGTTCTTGCACTTTCAAGAAAGGCATGGCTCCACTGAGCTAAATCCCCGGCCCCTCACATATAGAAATTTGACTTTATCTCAAATATGTTTAATGTAAATATATTATCTACAAATGGTCTCTAATGAATTTTGCTATAAATATAAAAGTGTTCAAGGACTATTTTACCCTTTATGTTTCCAGGTTCTAACTTCAAGACCTTTTCACAATCCTGAAAAGCACGATTCCAGTTCTGCAGTTTGATTTCTGCTTGAGCACGATTGTTATAAGCAGCTACAGTGGGGAGCGCAGATATGCTCCTAGAAAACAAAAAACACTTACTGGCAACAGGCAGGCCTAACCTAGACCTAAGAATGTACAGAAACAAAGTTGGAAACAAATAATCATAGCCTCTGCATTAGTGCAAAATAATTAATAAAGGAAGAATTTAATGTCTACTTGGCTATGGCTTAACAAATTGACTTGGAATGCTGTGAAATAATGAATACCCAGCTATAGGAAAGATAAAGGCACTGGCACACTGAATTTACCAGATCAAGAGAGGAATAGAAGGTACAACTGGAAAAGTAATCAACATGGTCATTAAGCGGGGGTGGGGGATTTAGCTCAGTGGCTCTGTAGCCTGCCTTGTAAGCGCATGGCCCCGAGTTCAATCCCCAGTACCAAAAACAACAACAAACATGGTCATTAAAGATCAGTAAAGATGATTCAATTACTTAGTTCTAAGCAAGCATTAGTGATTCTATAAGCACAGTTTGTAGCAATATTTTAGGAATTTCATCTACTTTTCATAGATTAAAAAGTTCATACAAGTATTTATTGAACATCTGCTATGAACCAGGCACTTGCTGGGAATTGAGGAGAGAGCAGTGGGTAAGTGGGCTCTGCTTTTAGGGAGCACACAGTCTAGTTAGTATCACAGCACGAATTTACATTGTATTTTGGCAGGTACTACAAAGGAGAAGTGAGACTGCTTCAAAAGCCTCTGAACTGACGGGTCAGTGGTATCAGGGGTAGATGGAGATTTAACCTACTTAACCAGATATCCTGAGGGGTTAAGAAGATTTCCCCCAAAAAGTAAGGCACAGACCAGACTATAACAGTTAAGTCAGGCGAAGCTGGAGGTATGGCTCAGTGGTAAAGCACTTGCCTGGCATATGCAAGGCCCTGAGTTTGATCAAAAAGGTAGAAGAGGAAGGAGAGAGAGAAGGAAGGAAGAGATCGAGGGAGGGAGGGAGGGTTCAATAGAATTAAGTGGATCATTTTAGACAGAGGCCTCAGGGTGTACAGCGGCCCTGTGGTGGATTAGGTCTAGGCAGTCTGACCACAGAACCCAAGTCAGAACTTTTATGCTGTGTAGATTTTCTGTCAAGTTCCTTTCAGATGGTTTCTGTTCTCTCTAAAATAGGAAAATTAGGTCTTCTGTCCAAGGCAGGGGTTGGGTGAAAACTTAAGAGATTTGAAAAAATACTGAAAAGACAAAATACTGAAAAGAAAAATCACAAGTATGGAACTTTAAGTGATTCTGACATAGACTATTTAGTTTATATTTTTTCAATAATTAAAATGTTATCATTTTTTAATGGCAAGTTTAAACAACAAAAATCTGTTCACCTTGTATAATACATTATAGCCTCTTCATAATCTCCTGAGCTGAAAGCTTCATTTCCTTTTTCCTTTTCACGAGTAGCAAGAAAACCCTTTTCTTTCTCAGTGAGACCTGGAGATAATATTGTCTGTTACATGTGAACATATAATGTAATAGAAGTTTAAATCCAACAGCGTTAAAAAATTTTTTTTTCAATGCCACGGATGGAACGCAGAGCTTTGGGCATGGTTAGCAAGTGCCCTACCACTGAGCTGCAGCCCCAGCCCCTAAGGATGCTTATCTTTTTTTGTTTTGTTTTGTTTTTTGAGACAGGGTCTCACTATGTAGTTGAGACTGACCTGGAACTCACTATGTAGTCCAGGCTAATCTCAACTCATAGCAATCCTCCTGCCTCTGCCTCCTGAGTGCTGGGATTACAGGCGTGTGCCACCACGCCTGGCAAGGATGCTTAACACAAGTAGAAAATCATAAATGAAACAAAACTTAAAATAAAAAGCTGTCCTTAATTTAGGGACTGTTAAAAAAAATCATTCAGTATTTTTTAAAATTTAGATTTTTTTTTTAATGATTAGCTTTGTTGTCCCCTATGTACTTCATCATCTTTTTGTTGTGAAGCAGAAAGAAAAATATATAATTTATAGGAAAGAGAGGATTTCTGGAAACTAATAAAAACAAGTGAATTATAGTAAGAAAAATAGGCTTATATTTTCAAGTCTTAGTAAATCTAGTTATTATCCACATAAAATTAATTAGTTAAAAGGTACAAATGAACTTGTTAGACACAGTCAACTTTATGAGAAAATCCATACATTTTAATAGAAATATGTAACACTCAAAGAAATTATTTTGTAGGTTGACAGTTGTTATTACCATTAGAAAATGTATTATTTTCCCCTATTACCTGCTGTATCTATTTTTGTCTCAATTTTAGATAAATGTGACTTGTTGTCTACTATAGTCTCTTCTTTATAATCTTCATCAATTTTTGAACATTCCTTTTCCACATCAAATCTTAAATGGAAAAACAACAAAAATTGAAAAAAGATACAATATTAGCAAGAAAATATATTGAATTACACTGTGAGTGTCCCTAATCTAAAACACTTAGGCCCAGCAAATAAAATTTTGCTTATACACAATAAGATAGCTTGTGGATGGGACCCAAATCAAAACACAAAATTCATTTCTTTTTAAAGTGCTTCTTTTGGTGGGAATCTTTTTTTTTTTTTTGGTACTGAGGATCGAACAGGCGGCGGAACCACAGAGCTAAATCCCCAGCCCTTGTTTATGTGTTATATTACAACCTATACACGTAGCCTGATCAAATTTAATGCAATATCTTTAAACATTTTTGTAAATGAAACAAAGTTTCACAAAATGGAATTTTCCACTTGTGGTGTCATGTCAGTGCTAAAAAGCAAGTTTCACGTTTTGGACCATTTCAGATGTTTGGATTATAAAGGCGCAACCTGTTCTGTGCCTTTGAACATATACTTAAAGCATGCACAATGGGTTTGTTTTTCAAGTCATATCCATTCTTTCTTAAGAAAACATACCATTAAGCAAAGCTTTAAATATTAAACAGATCTAACCTGTTCAGAACTCTGTCATTAAAACTGTGACTAATTTCTCTCCACTCAAAATGTTTATACTTTTAAAGTTTGGACTAGTATAAAGAGAGCAATAGTTAGTTTTGATTGGTTTATAAACAAAAAGATGTACTAATTTTTATTTAATAAAAAAAGATCGAAAGTGCTTAGATTCGATACTTTCATTATTCTACTAAAGTAATTTGATACTTGGATATGTTCAGGTTTATAATAATTATTTTTAAAGTTATTATAGTATATAATGGTAAAGAATTTTTCAGAGACAAATTTTATATAGAAATGTAAAACATACTTATCCCACTCTGCATAATCCCTTGGAATTTTCTTTTTAGCTGGTTTATTTTTAGAAGAATATTTTTCCTGAAAGAATAAAATCATGTTTTATGAGACATTTAACTAAGATTAGCAGGGTTTACTATATATGCAACGCAAGTAAAATATTGAATTAAGATACAAACAGAATGAGTAAAAAAAATAGGTAAACTTGAGGTTATAACAACTTCAGTATTATAATAATATGTAACAGGTAAGAGAAAGTATTTTAAATTTGTAGTTAGTTCTGAGAACAATCTGTAGGCTTTTATATACATACACCTATGTATGTATATAAAATTTGAAAACTTACACATGGATACTTCTTATTAATTTTTAATTTTTATTAGTTCATGCTTGCATTACATAATGATTACAGTCAGTGTGGGGAACTGGTACATGTATGTAACTCAACTTAATTCTTTTTACTTTCCCTGTCCTCCTCCAATCACTTGGTGCACTAAATTCTGATTTATTCTTTTAAAACCTAGACATTGGGGAAATAAGAATAATTACTTTGCTGTACCTCTAATAAAGCTGCTTTGTTTGTGATGACAGACACCCAGCTTGAGCTAATTCTATTAAAAAAGAATAAATCCATTTATGTAACCAAACTTATGAAAGGACAGGGTTCCTGCCAAATAAAGGGATTCCTATGCCTTCTCTCCAGGGCCCCCACCACTACCGCTGTGCCCCAACCCATCTCTGCTCCTCTCTGCCTGCTGATTTCACTTTCCTCCAGGGCTACCTGCTTTCTCTTGGCAGCAGGAAGCATGCCCACAGCAGGCTGGGTTATACTTCACAGGCCTCATCACAGAGGAAAAAGGAACTGTCCCTTCTCTCCACCTTCTGTTACAGAAGTTCCAGGGAAGGATTCACTGGCCGCCTTGGTCAGGAGCCCATCCCTAACCAAGTACAAGCTAAGTCTCAGACCCACTGGGGTTCTGCACTAGATGGCAATAGGAGGAACGTAGACAACAGTCATTGCATTCACAAGTAGTTAGCCTTCCAGAGCCATAGTACATATGCTAGATATTTACCAAGGAATGCTAACTTTAAAAATACCTATCTGTAGCCTGAAGAAAGGGAAATATAGCACATTTATAATAAAAGTAGCTAGTGGTTTGTTTTTAAACCACTACATATCTTTACTATCACTAATGCAGGTGGCACTACTTAGTTTTAAAGGACACCGGTTGCAAATCAAAGGTGTATTTGTACGTTGCTCTCTAATACCCACCTGTGACAAAGAAGTATCCTAAGGGATGAAAAAATGAATATGAATTGGTTTGATTATAGTAATCATTTGACAATATGTGTATGTATAAACATGCCACATTAATATATATACACATCATGTTAAATATATAATTCGCATTTCTAAATTATAATCCAATAAAGAAAACATTTAATAAGTAAATAAAATGAATGTAATCAATAAGAATCTCAAGACATGGAATTGGTGTATGGGATAAAATATACTATACAATATTATATTTTTATACTATAGAAAAGGACAGCACATGAGAAGCTGTGGTAGGAGGATTACAAGTTCAAGGTCAGTATGGGCTACAAAGAGAGTTCAAGGCCAACTAGACTATGTAGCCAGATTATGTCTAAATAAACCTGGGTGCAGGGAGCAAAGGAGGACAAAAGGTAATGCTTCTGACTCTGAAAGATTAGGGTATGTATCCCTTCCATATAACCCATAGTACCCTGTCCTAATTTCATACCATGTCAGTGAGGTGCAAAATAATTTTCAAACTTCTGAAAATAATTGGTCCTTTGGAGTTGTGCTGCTCTTCCAAACATTCACACATTTCAATATACAGTTAAAATCACATTATTAATATTCCTATGGATCTCATCAGAAAAGTCTTTAAACTATGCTTTAAAAGAATCATAGGAGGCCACTGACTTGGAATGAACTCTTGCACTAGATCCCCACAAACAAAACCAAAATGGAATCATTCATGCTAAAGTTGTACATCACTACACAAAAACTAAGATATTGGACCTTTTCAGGAAGGAGAAAGGGAGATTATAGGCATATCTCCAAACAGGCCAGTTTTATCTTGTAGGAGAAGGTGGGCCCCTATGTTTCAAGAACAGTAACCTGATGCTCACCAGTCTGCTTTTTATAGTCTTTGTTCTTGCTCATGACACCTAATAAAAGCCAACTATTCTGCCATATGCAATGGAAGACCTTTTAGAAGAGATACCACTCCAATTCATGAATCCTTAATAAAAAGCCAATTGGATCTTCAAATTAAATTTGTTACAATTTTGTCATTTGGTCTTTTGACAAGTATCCCCCTGAGGAAATACAGTACTTTTTCTTCACAAGTAGGTATTCAATAAATGCAAAGGAAAGTGAAAAACCTAATTTGTACCTGAAAGCTCAGATAGTGTCACTAGCAACAAACACTGTCAGTTGTTTTTCTTAAAGTGATGGGTCCTCTGTTCATTTAACAAAATGCCCACAAAACCCCAAGTCTGCATAACCATAGTTTGTCTTGTTAACCATCCTTTCAAGTAAGAAAAGTGTTCCCAGAAGTGGCCACTTCAGCTCAGAGATATGCCATTTCATTACTGAATAAAGCACTCTCTACACACTTCTTACTTTGTCACACATACAAAATAAAAAAGACATATTGTCGAGGTTCAAAATTATACAAAGTTATTATATTGTTTCATGAAAGGTATTTTTAAGTTAAGCTGGAATTTTTTCTTCGTGTGGATCAGTACAGTTTGATACTACTACCTTCATTTATGTTAAGGCACCAGGAGTTTTATTCTAGGTGCAAATGTCAATACACTGGAATAAACAGAACACTAATATTATTTTTAAAATAACTTTGCTGGGCACAGTGGCATGCAGCTATCATCCCAGCTACTCAGAAGACTGAGGAAGGTGCCCAGGAGTTCTAGGCCAGCCTGAGCAACATAGTTGAGATTGTTTCAAAGGCAAAACAAAAACACAGCATTGACTTTTTGGACTCCTGGAATTCTGGAGGCCTTGGACCAAACTCTGAGAATCACTGTAACATTAACTTATCTACCACAATGGACTATAACCTTTGCAGGGAATCTCCATGTTGATTATGCCCAAAGCAAGCCATAAGCAGTACAGGCTGTAAAGAGTTAACCCCGCAAGTGGCTCATTTTAAGAAGTGAGTCTGACTGAAGCTTACAGTGATTCATAGAAGCACCTCATAAGCACTGCAATAGTGCACAGGTTAGTATGACCTTCCTGCTAATGGCCACAGTGGAGAGAAAAGGCCTGTGAAGCTGTGGGGCTCAATATGAAATAATATAGTAGAAGGGATCAGAGTAACTTGCACCCAAACTCCATTCCCATGACTAAAAACTTCTTAATTAGAAGGACAAGGTTCTAATTACAACTCCATATTTTGTCTGTTCTGTTCCTAATTCAAGAATGCTTTGTCTTTTATAAGTCTTACCTGCATTAGTATCCATTGCAACTGCATGACTACAGGTCCTTGCTCATAGCTATCTTTTACCCCAATTTGATTACCAATAAAAAGCAGTGGCTTGGGCTGATCAGGGCCTCTGCTGGTTACTCAGCACTGGCCATCCTGGCTCCCCACTTTTTTCTTTAATTCTGTCTTTGAGGTTTTTTTTCTCAGCCCTGTGTTCTATACTGGGCAGGAGACTGGAACCTACTGCAGAGGTCTCCAGTACTCCTGATGGCAAAGACTGAATATTATTCATTGTTATAATTTTAAGGCACCAACGTAACACATAGTGTTCCATTAATAAATATAAATTCATTGGTTACAGATAGTGGCCCCCCTCATTCACCTGCATAATTCCTAATGAAGGGTAAACAAGTCCAGGAAAATAAAGTAATAGAGAGCAGAGCAATGAAGAGCTACAGATGTTTTTAAAATAAAATTGAAGATTCAAAGAAAAGATGAGAATAACAAGAATGAGTTAACCCAGAATGAAAAGACTTTGGTAGCCATCCTATCAGAAATGACAAGGACAGTTGGATGTCAAGAGGCCCAGTTTCAACCTGAACTTAAATAGCTGCACCTGGAACTCCAGCAGGCCCCTTCTCTGTGAAATCTCTGCTTAAAAAGGAGAGGTTTACATGACAAAACAGGGACCAACCACAGAGAGATAGGGATAAGAGGAAAAAAAAAAAAGAAAAAATTTGCTCTCAACAAAAGAATGACATGTATAAGTGCATGATGGTATTTGTTTACCATTTTCAGTCTGCAGTTCATTAAATCACATAATAAGATATATCTTATGTTCCTCTACTGGATATATGAAAATTGTTCCTGGAAAAATGGTACACTGATGGAACCTTATGGGCTCATAAAAATTGTCAGAGCTGAAGAGACAGGACAGCAAAAAGAAAAAGAAGGAAGGTGGTAAACCCAAGATGTAAGACTTCAAAGGAAACTGCTTTATTTTTATCTCTCTTATGATGCAATATGGCCTACCAAAGGCAGTGGCAGTATTGGCCAGCTCCAGCCCCTCCAGTTCTCCCAAAGGAGATCATGCTTTGCCTACTCTGATTGGACTGAGACAGCCCCGTCAGCAAAGCCAGCACCTTTTCCCTACACCCAGCCATCCCCACCCCACACAAAGGTCTACCTTGATAACATGAAGACCATTGTTTGAACCACGAACTGGAGGTAAATGATCTCCTACTCCAGGGAATGTTTCAGCTTCCTGAAAGTGCATTCCAGTTTCTTCTTTTTTAATTTCTGCTACCCAACTCTAAAAAGAGTAAAAGAAGGTGAATGTACAGTTTGAAATAATTGAGGCATTAGAAAGAACTGCACATCCTCGTTTCCTACGAGTCCATTTTTAGGTGATAATTCGAGATGTCATTCTCTATCTCTACCTTTCCTTTTCAATTGTGGCAAACGTCATAACATAAAAATTTGCTTTCTTGGGGGTTTAGCTCAGTGGTGCCACATCTGCCTGGCAAACACAAGGTCCTGAGTTCAATTCCCAGTACAAAAAAAAAATTGGCTTTCTTAGCATACAGTTCAGTTTTGTTAAGCATATTCACATTGTGGTTGCTTGTCCTACTTACACATGGATATGTACATTTGTATATAATCCTCCAAAAGACCAGATCATAAATCTAAATAGAGTCAAAACTATAGACTTTCTAGGAAAAAACTTAAGAACCATGGGTTGGGCAAAGATTTCCCAAATAGAGCACAAAGACCTAAAGAAAAAAATAATTTCATCAAAATTTAAAACTTTTGCTCTTTCGAAGACACTGTTAAAAAGAACGGAAAAGGAAGCCAGAGAGTATCAGAAAAATATTTGCAAAATGTACATTTAATAAAAGACATATTTTCCATCTCAATAATGACAACACACACAAAAAAAAACATTTTTTTTTAAATAGGCAAGGGATTTGAAGATACTTTATATAAGAAGAAACATGGATGAGGGCCAGGATTTTGCTCAATGGTTCCACCGCCTGCCTCGTAAGCGCAAGGGACTGAATTTGATCCCCAGTACCAAAAGAAGAAGAAGGAGAAGAAGAAGAAGAAGAAGAAGAAGAAGAAGAAGAAGAAGAAGAAGAAGAAGAAGAAGAAGAAGAAGAAGAAGAAGAAGAAGAAATATGACAGCACGAAGCATTATGATAAGACACTCAGCATCATTAGTTATTAGAGATATGCAAATTAAAACCACAATGAGATGCCATTAACTATCTAGTAGAATGGTTAACAATAACAAAACTGGCAATATTAAATATCAATCAATATATAAAGCAACTGGAAAGTTTATACATTGCAGACAGGACTGCACAGTGGTTCAGCTGCTTTAGAGAACATTTTGGCAGCTTGTTCATCAACTGTAAATAAATGAACTGTGGGAAATCCATACAGTTTGATACTAAGCAATTCACAGGAACGAACTATGGACACCTGCAACAACACAGATAATCTGGAAAGCATCATGCTAAGTGAAAGAAGACAGACACAAAAGACAACATACTGTTGATACATCTAAAAAAGGCAAAATCATAGTGACAGACAGCAGTTCAGTGCTTGCCAGAGGCCAAGATGTGGGGTCTGCACTAACGGTAAAAAGGCAAAAGGAAACTTTTTGAAGTGATGTAAATATTCTCTATCACATACATTTATTAGAACTCGGTGAAATGTACACTGTAAGGTTGGTGACTTTTATTGAATATAAATTTTACCTCAGTAAGGCTGATTAAAAGTGTAAAGATACAAACAGGTCATTAACAAAAGAAGAAATTCAAGTAATACACAAAAAAGATTCAACTTTACTAGCAATAAAAAATATACTACTATAATTTTTCAACTATGAAACTGACCAAATGATTACAGTGTGCAATGAAGATAACTTGAAAATGGGCATCTTATATCCTACTGGTGTGTCAGTATGAAGGTACAGCTTTTCTGAGAATACAAGAATGTTTCAAAAGCCTTAAAAACATTCCCATAATTTGCCCAAATATTTTGGATTTAATAATTTATACAGAAGAAATCACCAGGCAGGAGCAGAGAAAGACCACAAAACTATAAGCAAACATGTTTACATAGCACTATTTATAGAAGTTGACTAAATTATGATTCTTTTAAAATTGAGGTGTGTTATATACATGAACAAACTCCCCATAATGAATGTAATCATTCTGTACCGCAAACATGTACTGATAAACATAAAAAGTTATTATTCTTTTTAGTATTATCCAGCCATCTAAAATACATATGCAAAAGCAAATTCACAATATTTTTCTAGATATAAAAAGCAACAAATACTTCCTAATTATCACTAAGGGCCCTTTATTGATGAACAAGAAGCCTAAGATTTCAGGTAAGTGAAGCAGACATATCTACAACATCTCTTCATTGTCTGTCAAAAGCCTGTGTTAACCTCTACCTTTATGTCACCATCGATTTTTTCCCATTCTTCTGTTGTAAAACTGGATGCTGTCGCTGCAGGTTTATCTCTCCACAGAGCTCTACTTCCAGGAGCTAAGCCCTGAAGGCGCCTTTCACAAAATTCTGTAAGTTCAGGATAATATCCTTCCTCGCCAGACCTAAAAAGTATTTGTAAGTTTAGCGTTAGCACCTTATTTAGAAATCCCCTAGACCAGTGGGTTGCAAGCTGGGTTCTGTGGAGCCCAGGGGCTCTGCAGAGATCGCAAAAGCTATGCAAACCTGAAGGTTCAACACACACACAGCCTCTGTTTTCTCTGTTCATCTGTGGAGAGGTACAGGAAAGGGAAAAGGAGCCCCAAATAAACTAATTTCCATCACACACTTTAAAAGTTAAATAAATACCAGTTTCCTTCCTATTTACATACATATGATCATTTGTACATAGAGCAATCATAAGCATGTATGTGGAAACTCAGTTTTAGAGGTAGGCAGAGCAAATGTGGGCTTACTTTTCAAGCAGGAGTTTCTGTTCTGTTCAGAGCTCAATTTTTGTTCAGAAAAGGAAGAAGAAGAAAATGGCAGAGAAACAGCTTAGACAAAACACCTCTAAATTCAACTGCCAAAGAAACAGAGTTCTTTCCTTAGAGAGCTAACTAGAAGCATCTCTTCTTTTTTGTTTGTTTTTAAGGAAAATCAATAATTTTCCTTTCTCTTATAGGTTTGTTCCCACTTAAATTTCTAAAAAATTACAAATAAAATTTTTCCAAATTGATTTTTAAAAAATAATTCCATGTCAATATCATATAATTAGACTATTCACAGGATTTCTTGGACCCAATATTATAACGGTGGCTTCAAACTCATCCCATAAGTTTTTCATTTAAAAAAATCAGTCCTTGACCAAATATAAAGGACAAAGTGGGCACACAGCTACTCGGGAGGCTCAGGCAGGAGGATTTCAGGTTCAAGGCCAGCCTGGGGAACTTACTGAGATGCTGGCTCAAAATAAAAAATGAAAAAGGAGCCAGACATGGTGGTGTGTGCGTACAATCCCAGAACTCTAGGAGGAGACCAGCCTGGGCAATTCAGTGAGATCTTGTCTTAAAAAAAAAAGCGGAATGTAGCTCAGTATAAAGGTCCTGGGTTAAGGAAGGTACCAAACACACAAATTAATTAACTAATTAAAATTAAAATTAAAATAAAGAAGGGCTACTGTAGGGAAACTCGGGTACTTTGGCTAAGGCTGTGAAGGGAAGGGGACCTGGGAAGTAGTGGGTTCTGTGTCAACAGAGCTCCAGTGCAGGTGCATCTCCTGATACCCCAAGGTCAAAGGTGGTGTAAATAACTTACATAACCAAGGCTGTTATCGGCACAGGGCCACTACAATGCACTTTGCTATAAAGGTAGACTCAGCAGCCGAGGACTGCTGTGGGAATGGGCAGGCCAGGGGCCTGAGGACTGCTGGGACTATAGTGACTGGGGCTGAAAGAGCAGCCAAACAGATGGACTATGGCTAAGCACCTGAATAAAAGATGTCTAATCCAGGTCACAGCTCTGTGTCTCTTCTTCAGGCTGCCTAAATCTCAAGTGAACCTTCCCAGTCTGACCTGGTGACAAGACAGCCTGGAATATGGTTCAGTGTACAGCATTCCCTGGGCTCTCAATACCACACCAAATATATATATATGTTATATGTATGCATGGAAACATTCTGCTGAGAAAAACAAGTATGGTTTTTCATCTTTCCATTTCAGAAAGGATATATCGGTTATTAAATCGACTCAGGCAAGGAATCCAGGAGGCTAAAGGTGATGAAGGAGAAAAAGGAAAGACCACAATGATAAGGAAAACCACTACAGAGCTACAAGAAGACTGAGTCTGGAAAAGTAAGGTTTGTGCTCTCTAAGTGCCTTCTGCAATAGGACCTGTTCTCCCGAGGAAAACAGCTCTACAAACCCAAAAGAAGTATCCCAGGTTGCTGTTCCACAGGCAGTGTTTCTTGAAGTGGATTTCAGCTGGATGGTTAACACATTTCTGTGTTCCACCCTAGATTTCCTGGAGCAGAATCCTGGAAATGAGACACTCACATTTGCATTTTCAACAACCACATCTCATATATATCTGAGTTTGATTATCAGCACCCTGCGGGTGTACTCCGGGAAGGGCCCTAATTCTCTAATTCCTGATGTTACCTTCAGGTCACTGTGCCCTCTGTGATCAGCTTGCAGTAGCACCTGAGGATAGGAAGTGGCTGGTGAGATAACCTTCCTCCTGATGGCTACTTTCATAGTTAATGTAGAGGAAGCAAGAAAAACACCTTTTTGGGTACTCATTAGCCTAAGTCTCATGCTGGAAGTGGATCAAAATTAATGTTTTGGAACCCACCATAGGAAAAAAACAATATCAATACTTGAACATTTTCTCCAGTACTTCTGTTGTTGCTTCAACTTTTAGAAGCCAACGACAGCAGAATAAAAACTGGCATACCAAAACATAAAATGATTTTTAAATGCTTACCTGAGAACATAAAGAATTTTTTCCAGGTGTTTTATGTCCGAACATTTTTCAATATACTTGAAATCCAAATGTTCAACAGGAATGTTAAACGTTTTTGTTGCTCCAAAGCCCCACAGTGATGGATAATCTTTGGCAGTCATGGCTGAAACATAGTATAGGAAAACAAATGTGAACCTAATACATGTAATAGTGTCAGTTTGGACAGTAGTATCCATCTGGGTTCTCCAATAGGAAAACAGGTAGAGTCGTTTTTCCAAGGATGGAGGCTACTTATTTTGAACTTTCCCTCCCTGCCAATATAACATTTATGGAGTTAAATTACTGTATTCAGACATGGATTATCTCCTCCAATCTTCACTTAAATGAAGCTTGGATATAGTGACAAAGCTGGTTTTGGTGCTCAAATTACTTTTATTAGTTTTTAATTTTTTTAAATTTATTTATTTATTGATACTGGGGATCAAATTCAAGACCTTGCACTTGCCAGGCAGGCAGTGGCATCACTGAGCTAAATCCCTGGCCCTTATTTTTGAGACAGGGTCTCCCTTTTTAGTTCAGGCTGGCCTTGAACTCCAGGCTGGCCTCCAACTCTCAGCAATCTTCCTCCTCAGCCTCCATTCTAGGGTTATAGGCATGTGCCTTTAAATTACTTTGTGTGTGTGTGTGTGTGTGTGTGTGTGTACTGAGGATCAAACTTAGGACCTTGTGCTTGCAAGGCAGGCGGCAGCACCACTGACCTAAATCCCCAGTCCTAAATTACTTTTTTTAAAAATTAATTTTATTGATACATTTAATGTATACAATATAATGATATTCATTGTTGGAAATGTGTACCTTTACATAAGCCATCTTCTTATTTTCTAAATTACTTTTTAAAGTCTCTGTTAAAGTTGACTTTGAATGACTTTATACGCTAGTTGTTTATTAACATCCCAATTATGTGAGTTGGTGCAAACACAAATAATGCCCTTTCTGTAGTTTTTCCTTTTCCATTCCTGTCCTCATCTCCTATACTGCCATTCACATCAGTGATCAGTTCCCAGGACTATATTCTAAAGCACTCTGTACTTACCACTCACAGAACCTAGACTGTGAGTTAATTACGTCTCTTTTCCTCTCTAGATTGTGAGAGATCTTATTTTATTTGTCCTTATACCTCCAGAACTAACATAATAGGGTAGTATTTTATATTCTTTCAGGAATACTTGCAGAATTGAATTGGGAATAAGAAGGTCTTGAAGACTTTTACTCTAATGACACTGCTGCTAATGATGGAGATAACAATTACTGCAAGACTTATAGTTCATACTGTATGCTGGGCATTATCCTAAGTATATGAAATATATACTTAGCACTTATTATTTAATTCTCCAACTGGGTTTTGTTTTACGAAAGAGCAATAACAACTGACATTTATGGAGCTGGATTACCATGTGCCGTACATTACCTCATTTTAATCTTGAAAACCACTCTTATGAAAGATATTAATAATTCTCCTAGAGCTAGGGGTGTATCTCAGCAGTGGACCAATTGCCTAGCATGTATGAGGCCATGGGTTCAATCTCCAACACCAAAAATAAATAAATAAAATCATGATGATAATTTATAGATAAGCAAACTAACAAGTCAACTGTAGAAATGAATCTAACAGAGTGCACATACTTAGCCATCATACCGGTGCTTTTCAAACTATAGGTGGCGGTTCATGAAATCAGTTTAGCGAGTTACAATGAGCATTGTTTTATAACAAGATAAAATTGAATAAAACAGACTACCTGGCATATAACATTAAACATTATTTTATAAAAAAATAATTTTTGGTGGGGCTACCAGGAATTGAAATCAGGCAGGATCTCACATTTGCCAGGCAGGTGCGGTACCACTGAGCTAAATATCTGGCCCAAAAATAAATCTAATTCATACAAGTATTTCAATATGACTTCCCTCTGGGAGTCTGGCCATATAGCAGACTTGTGTGGAGAAAGACCTGTGACAATTTCTCCATATTCCTCCTGGCTTGGAAGTGGGTATGGAATATAGACATACTCCTTAGGCTTCAGGATGAGATCCAGCTGAGAAACTAGACGACTTTTACAACATACTGCAGGCCTCAGAATGCCAACTGGCTCCTATCACAAGGAGAGTAAGAAGAGTGAAATTAACAGGAAGGAAAAATGAAGAACTTTTACATTATTGACACTGCACAGAACAGAATGGGGTGCCTTGAGAGAATTTTCTAAAGAACTGAGGGTCTTTTGTGAGATAGAATTAAGCATCTAATGGGATTAAAATAGATTAAGGGAACTTGAAAGTATCTTGCAACTACTGACATTTTGATTTGAATAAAATATAATGAAAAACATAAAAGGATAGAACCATCTCTTACCGGATCAAATTTCATTCTGAACACTACTCTAACATATCTCAGAACTTTTTCAAAAACTACCGTGCCTTTTTTTCCCCCGTAGGGTACACCTTCTCAACATTACTAAATGCCAATTCTGAAGTTCTGTAAGGTCTCCCTCTATTTGTTCTTTTGAGAGCTCTTCCACGTCTCTGCGAAGTCTTTGCTTCTGGTTAGAAAAATGTTTAGCTCTAGAAGGATTTAATTTCTTCTCTGTCATACTGATCCACGTCCACTTCCCACATAATCAGCTTATCAGTGGCCTGCAGTACAAACTGCGATGGACTCGTGGTAACCCTAGTAATTTGAAAACCTGGCATTTTCCCACCCAGGCACCACCTTTCTAGCATCCTCGCTGCCGAGCGCCCCCTGCTGGCAGAGTATGGAAGGAAACGGCATCCTGTTGCCCTGGCAACAGTCTCTATGTACACTCTGGCCCCAGAGGATAGCAGGGTCGCAACTAGGCTGCAAGGTCCACAGCCAACCTGCAGCTGTTTGAGGTCTCTCCTTAGCCCCCGGCTTTGGTTTCCAGGGATGCTACGTGGGTCAACCCTGAGAACTACCGTGTTGCGATACTATCCCAACATCTGCTACCGTCAGTTGTCTGGACCTGGAAGTTCCCCCACCCGACCACGTGGTCCTCTCTCCGTGCCAGAGAGCGTGTGCTTCTCTGCCTTTCACCCCCGTTCCCCAAAGAGAGGCCGTGAAGAGACGGACGTTACTCTACACACCAGTACTCACCTGGTTCTCAGACCCGGCTCCTCCGGGCATGCCCAGTCCTCGCGGCTGGGACTGGAGGACTAGCGGGGCGGAGGTTAGGGGCCTCTGCCAGGCGATTGGCCGCCCCCGCCTGCCATCCTGCTGATTGGCCTCGCAGGGTCCAGCCCCCCTCTCTCCCCTTCCTCTCCTTTTGAGTTTGTTCCGTGTCGTTAAAACTCAGTCACTATTCTTTAACCCCAGACTGCTGTATTCCTGCTAAACAGATATCTAGTCCTATTTAACTATTAAGGCATACAGTTTCAAAACCTGTATTCACTGATCTCCGCTTTAAACAAGAATAAATGAAAGACAAGATTCCCTTCCTTTTTATGCATTGCATTTTGGGAGTGCTGGTTATGAGCAGTCAGATACAAAGATGTGGAAGACATTATACAATTCAGTTGAACACACTAGGTCACTTGTAATTTCCATTTGAAATACATTTCAGACTAGTTAAAATAGATAATAAACCAAGCACCTACTACAATGCCTAGCACATATTATAGACAGTTAAGTTAGGTAAAAATATTATAGGGATTTAGAGCTGAGTCCTCAGACAGTCAGGACAAAAGGTAGAAACACACTACAACTGTGGCCAGAGATACATGAATTAGAAGCCAGGCCTCAAGATGATGACAAAAGGACCAGGCCTAGAAGGAATGAGGTGGTAACATCTGGCATCTGTCTCCTCAGTGGGTGGGACCCCCATATCCATCATCTTCCTGAGTTCTTCATTCTTTCCATGTACTTTTGCTTCCCCATTGTGACTTGCTTCCCCTCTGGATCACCCATTATCAAAGCGACTAAATTTATAATCTTATCAGTAGATCATAGCTCTAACCCATGTTGTACCCACAGTTTTTGCCCTATAAAATCATCCCTGTAAAGTGAGGTCCTTGTCCATCCAATGGGGACCCCTCCTCTCAGGAGCTATCCTGTCAATAAATATTTTCCTACTCTTAACCTCCATCATTCTGAGAACTCATTCTTTGAATTTCGAGAATACGAACTTAGCCTATCAGACATCTAACATGTTGAGGGTTATATTTCCCTTATATCATCTGGAGGTCCTATTTCAACTCCTGTATCAAAAGGAGCTTAATAAACTATCTTCTCTCTTTGCACTTAACTTACAGACTCTTGGCTGGGGATGTTAGTGGTAAAAAAAACATTCAAGCTATGATTATATTATCGCTTCCATTGCCAGTGCTGGAAAATGTTACATTTGCATGTTTTTATATAGACTCAAACTTTAGAATGTCTTAGGTTGCCTTACTAAATTATCATGAGTGTCACATGTTCCAGGTCTTGCAAAGTCATTTCATGTCTCATTCCACATAGCAAACTTCTTCCAAAATTATGTCCTAAATCTCAAATAATAGCCACTATAATTTCACATCATTTTATTTCTAGCTGAAAAAGAAATCATTTTAAGTATCTGGGAATGGTAGTAATTCTACATGCCCTGTAATTTTCTTGTTTTGTTATAATTATGTATACACTTCTGCTGAATAAAAAAAGCACGATACAAAGCAACCTGAAGGAAAAGACAATGTAGACAACTGAAAATCCTCACTAGTCTTTATAGACACATAACAAAATACCGCATCCAAGAAACAAGGAGATATAGGAGAGGCCTACGTGGCCAGCTAAGAAGGGACAGTCTAGGTATTTGGACTCAAAGACTCACACCAAGGCCCATATGGTTTAGTGAGCTCTTTATCGTGCAATGTACCAATGAGTCCTATTGACTCAACTTCAAAATGGGATCGTTACATCTCATTCCTTCCACAGTAACCACCCTGGCCCAGCCATTGTCTTTGGCATTACAGATGGCCCTTCTTTTCCTCTGCTGCCACCTGACCCTGTATAGTCCATTTTCATACAACAGCAAAACCATGTCACCCCCTGCTTACTGTCCCAACTGCTTTCCAACAGACATTCCTAATTTAGCTGGCTTCTGCCTACCTTTGCAACTTCATCTCTTCCCACTACCTCACTGTTCAGTCTGTCACAGGGTTTTCATTTTAAAAGGTGTACAAGATGAGCTAACGTCCCACCCCAAAGCTTTTTGTTTTGTTTTTGGTACCGGGGGTTGAACTTAGGACCTTGCACTTGTGAGGCAGATGCAGTGCCACTGAGCTAAATCCCTGGCTTTGTTTCCTCCAACTTAGTAATGCTCCTTGTTTTCCTAAGGCTGGCTCCTTCTCATCAGTCAGTCCTCCACCCAAATAACCACTCATCTGACTAATCTTCTACACAAGACTTCAGAAACTGGGGATGTGTGGATCTGTATATATGAGGAAGCAACTTATATCTCTTTATATTTAATTATTTTCTGATTTCAACTGTCTTTCATAATTTTACATGGACAACAAATACACTGGTATACTCTGTCCCAAATGGTGCTATCATGTTTACAATGACAAAGAACAGTGCTTTCCAAGGAACTTACTTAATTAGATCTTTAGAGAGCTCTACAAATCCAAATTTTTAAATTTTATTAAAAGTACAGAGAAATAATTTTAACCTTTATTATATGTCAGATTACATGTGATAAAATTAAATAAGTCATATAATTGAATGAAAAAATTCTTCATACAAATTATACATCTTACTACAGTTTGGTTTTGAAAATGAAATATGAACACAGTTGTATTCATAAGTGTGTTAAATCAAAAGCTATACAACGAGAAACATTAAGGGCAAATCCAAGTACCACTGAAGACACTTCTCTGAATTTCCGTGTTTCATCGAGCATCAAAAACCACCACTGTGTTTAAATGAGTTAAGGGCTAAAGCAGTGTTTAAAAACAATATGAGATTTAACGTTATCAAATCACTTTCTCTTTGCAGTAAGCTAGTTTACTATTTTTTAAAATATAATAGAATTATTTACTGTAATTGGAGATTATCTTTTAAAAATCTTCACTTAATACTTTTTCCAGATACAAAAGCCAATGCACCAAAAATATTAAGCAATATTATTATTATTATTGCTGATTTTAAAGAATTTGTTAGTTACCACATAACAACTTATTCCCAGTATTTGGGCTAATATGTAGGCCCTACTTTTTTTCATTAGGTAGCATATACAATATTTATATTTTCTTTGTATAATTTAGTTTGTCCATAAACTCAAGTTCAACAAGGAGTACTTCTATTAAGTAGAAGATTCCTAAAAATATACTAAAGAGAACCAAAATGATTAGTGTTTATTTACAGCCCATACACTGGTCTATGAAAATGGTGATCCTGTTTGTTTCCAAAGTAATCCAAAAGTTATTACTGTTCTTACCATAACTTAATCTGTATCAAACCCAGCATTATTCTTCATTTCCTCTTCATATTTAGAAAGCATACTTAAAAGGATACATCTTTTAGTTCTTTTCTTGTACATTATTCTGTATCCACATTCTCTACATCTGATTGGATCCCTGGATTTAATTTCATTTTCTGTGTGACATTCTAGAAAAAGAAAACACATTTATTCAATGGCTAAAAGAAAAAATTACAGACAAGCACATTATTTAAACCATATTTTCCGCCCAAGCAACCCAAAGAACTAAAATACACTCAATCTCTTTTCTGGGGGGGAGGGTGTCTTATTTTATTAAAGGATGAGAAATATGTAATTATTTTGAAACTTTAGGCAAAAAAGAATGAAAGTTTAAAAGAAAAACCCTGTATAAATTATAAAATTCCTATAAAACATAATTTAACAGAAATCTTTTAAAATTTTTCCTCTTCCCACTGCTGCCTCCCAACTCCACAAAAAAAAAGAAGAAATGGATAATTTTCCTCTATTTGTCTGTAAACAATTTAATGATAAATTCTGGTATGGTAGAATTAGAATTGCAAGTACTAAGATCTAACTTCACATAACTCATTTCTGAGCCCTGAAGCCCTCATCTATAAAACATTTAAAATTTTGGCTCAGAGAATTGGATGATTTTGTAAAGTACCTTCAAACAAAAGATTTCAATATATATTTCTTTTTTTATTAAGTTTATTGGTACATTTAAAGCAAACAATACAGTTACATTTATCATTGGGATCTTGTACTTTTACATGATATATCTTGGTTCTTGTTTTTTTCCAATATATATATTTCTTTAAGAAAAAAATTTTCTTTCTTATTAAGAATACATTGTACAGTTGTTTGATTCCTGAAATTAATTAAGCTGCTTTTAAAGACTTTGGCCTGTGTTACACAGACTTTGCATGTTGCATATGTCACAGAAACAGGGAAAACAAGTTGCTGTCTGCCAACATCTTGCATCAGATAGTGGTACTCTTTTTAGTAACACGTAATCTCTTTGATAAAATCAGATACTCATAAAATTTAGAAGTCCAGGGTGACGGGCTTGCATTCAAACTTTTTTTAAAAAAAAATTTATTAGTACAGTATGTTACAGTCATAGTGATTACATTCATCATGGGGAGTTATGTACATGTACATAACATATCTTAGATCTCAATATGCTGATACTGCTAAATACATTAAGTAGGAAAGAGAAGGGCAATGAAGTATCCAAGTGAATTTTAACAAAATTTGTTAAGATCGTTACTTTGTCTAAGTGCTACTCTTACCTCCACAGATATATATCATTGGCTGCTGCTTTGGAGGTTGAACGTCCTTCTGAGTGTCCATTTTAAGTTTCTGAAATCACAGATTCAAATACTGAACAGTATCTCAAAGGAGCTCCTCACAAAATCAACCAAGCCCCATTTTTCTAAGTAGAAGCAAACAAGTTTCTAATTTCTGATTTGTGCTTTCCCCCCAAGCTCTGTGAGTCAGGTCTAAAGGACAAAACACGAAGTAATGAACACTTAACCCACACTGGACAAATAATAAATACCTTATACAGTAGGGTCAGGAAGTATAACTTTATAGGTGAAGAAACTGGAGCTTAAGAAAAGTTAATCTGCACAGTGGCGCTCAGCTACAAGGCAAGGGCATTCAGATATGACCGAAAAGCTAGCGTTATCACTTAACAGTTTCAATCTCCAGCCGGAGACAGTTAAAAAAAAAATTATATTCCTTGTGCCAAAAAATTACACCACTCACAGGGGAACAGACTAACCAAAGGGATAAAAGTAACGAAATAGCTCTCAGCGGCTAAACAGCTAAACTCAAATCAAAGCACTAAGAGCACAGTCTCTATCCCACTCCCAACACTAACCCTACCGGGACCTTTTTAACTGTTAGCACCTAATTTTCGTCCAAGTAGCAACCCCAACACACACCGTGCACACGCGGCTCCCAAATCGCAAATCATTAATACCCTACCTGGGAAACACTGAGAAAATTCTCACTCGGCGTTTCCAAACAAAACCTCGCTGGTCTTGGTCTCAGCCAACTTCCGTCGCTGACAAATGACGCACATAGTCTCCGCCCCTTCCGCCTTGGCATCCCGGAAATTCCGATCGCGCAGACGACGCAAATCGCGTTGGTGCAGTTCGCGCGCGCTGTAGGGACGGTGAAACTTTGGGACGCTTGCCGCCGCCTTTGTTAGATCTCATTGAAGGCTCCAAAAGGTTCTCCATCATTGCAAGTGCCTATTTCTCTCCTAGTTAGTTTCATTTCCCGGCAGAGCAAGGCATTGTGACAGTTCCACAAGTGGAAGGATTATGTTTCTGTCTAAAGAAATTGGTAGGAAGTAATACTTTTCTGGAAGGGCCGAGGGTTGGAAGAGAAACAGATGACAGGTGTGAGTGGAATCCTAAACTAGCTGTTTAGGATTTACACGGAAAAATAGGCTCCACCAGTGATTTCACGTATAAAAACACTTTAGTGATTGTTTTTAAAATTAGATGTGCATGCTGAGGTACCACGGCAGTGACCTTCTATTTCTCTCATAAATTCGTTTTTCCTTTCCAGTCCTTTCTCTCCTAGGCACCAGTTATTCCTTTACCCCTCTTATTTTCCTTTGTAAAGCGAAGGCTGGCGTGAGGGCCGCTAAATCATTTACTCCACTCAAACCTAAGGGATTTTGGTAACGTTGCCCTTCCTCAGATCCTCTGTCCCGTGTTTTCATCCATGGGGGAGTAAAATGACCTGTTGAGTGTAGGTATGTTCTTTCAGAGATCAAATTTTTAGTGAGATAACTATATTCATTGAGTTCAGAATACTTATATTTGTTAATTTCACAGGAGATATTTTATTTATATTAGAAGTAGGACAAAGAGAATATTATTTAAATGCAAAAATAGTAATAAGTTGTTAACAAAATTAATGGAAGAGGCAGCTGCCTCGCCTGCAGTTGCTGGTGCTGGCACAGGCTGTGGCACAGCAGACACCTCATTGGAGGCTGGCCAGCCCGCAGTTGGTGGTGTATGGGTAGCCACGCAGTATGGCCAGAGCATCTGTTCCAACAACCAAAGGGACAGGCATTCCAACTCCCAAGGACACTCAGTAACTGTCTCAAAAGAGGTCTGTGTGCGAGGTCCCTCCAACACAAGGAAATCAGGGTACTGTCTAACTTTATCGTGCACTCACTACCCTACTAAGCACCTAAGGGCCACTTCTGCAAAATTCAAGCAAGAGAATGAAGGAGAGAAGGCTGAGCTTCAGTCTCAAGTTTGGAATTTCTAGCAGATGCCAAAGCCAAAGATAGTGAAATCAGCAGACTTCAAAGTGAATTAAATGCAAGGAGGGAAGGGCCCCAAACACCAATGGGACTGATGTTTCAGACCCAAGTTCAGATGGAACATACTCTACCAGGAGGCACAGATCCTTTGATAAGAACCTTTGAGGAGAAGAACACAACCTTTTCAGAAAGACCTTGCTGACCTAGAAGAAAAACTGACTTACCTTGAGCAGTACCAAATTCAGAAGAGGCAGCAAGTCACACTGGTGACAGCAGTTGACTCAAGAGTCAAGCTTTGAAAGCCCAACCAGAAATGAATTGTCAAGTGAAATTGATCAGTATTTTTTAAAAAAATACATATGAAAATACATTAGGGACACTCAGTTCTTCAAGCAGTTATTTTACCAAAGTTTCTTTGTCACCAGATGCCTCAGATTTTGAGCACATCACCACTGATACCCCATCTTGGGCTCTGTCTTCCACTAGCAGGCATTTTAAGAACTCCAAATGTTCAACCACTGGGAGTTCTCCAAACAGTATGCGTGAGCTCTCCCTATCTTCCCTTACAGAGAAGATACAGAAATGGAAAAGAATCACCACAGCACTACAGGGGAGCTATAGGCCACTTTACAAGATTTATCATATCAGCAATAAATGGTGCAGGAACTGACAGCTGAGAATGAGAAGCTAATGGACGAGACTATTTTAGAGACATCTTTCTACCAACATCAAGAGAGGGCAAAGCAGCTAAGTCAAGAAAATGAGAAAACCAGGAATTTGGCTCAGTGGTTCTGCTGCCTGCCTTGTAAGCCGAAGGGCCCAAGTTTGATCCCTGGTACCACAAAAAAAAAAAAAAAAAAAAAAAAAAAAAAAAAAAAAAAAGGAGAAAGAAAAAA